CGAACTGTGAGGGGGCGAACTGTGAGGGGGCGAACTGTGAGGGGGCGGCCATGGCGGCCCCTCAGGGGTCTCGGCTGAGAGGGGCCGACAATGGCGGCCCCGCGGCCCCTCAGGGGTCTCGGCTGTGCCGGGCCGGCCATGGCGGCCCCTCAGGAGTCTTGGCTGTGAACGGGCCGGCAATGGCAGGCCCTCAGGGATCTCGGCTGTGAACGGGCGGCAATGGCGGCCCCTCAGGGGTCTCGGCTGGGCCGGGCCGGCAATGGCGGCCGCGGCGCCCCCCGCGCTGCCCTCAGCGCGGCCGTTGCGCGCGCGCGGGAACCGGCGCGGCCGTTACACGCGGCCCCGCGCGCGCGCCGCTCGAAGGGGCGGGGCCTCGGGGAGGGGGCGGGGAAGAGGTGGACACAGCCAATCGGCGGCCGGAAAGGGGGCGGGGCGGGGCGGTGGTCGCAGCCAATCGGCGGCCGGTGTTGGAGAGGCGGGAAATTCGAACGTGGCGGGCGGGGTTTGGGTCCCTCGGGGCGGGTCCAGAGCCCGCGACCCTCAGGGTCTCCCCCCCCCAGGGGCCGAGGATCGGGTCCCCTCATGGGATCGGGTCTGTCAGAGTCTCCCTTCATGGGCCGGGGTTCCGGTCCCCCAGGGCAGGTCAGAACCCCTCATTGTCCCAGGTCCCTCAGGGTCTCGCCCTATGGGCAGGGGTTTGGGTGCCTCAGGGCAGGTCAGAGCCGAGTCCCCTCAGAGGCTTTGGTCCCTCAGGGTCACCCCCATGGACCCCGGCCCGGGCCCCTCAGGGCTCTGCTCCTTCAGGCCTGGAGGTCCCCCCACAGCCCAGTGTCTCTCTCAGACCCGGCTCTAACCCAGTTCTAACGTGGTTCTCCCACCTCTGTGTCGCCCCCTGTGCAGTGTCACCAATGGTGGCAAAACCACCCTGACCAACAGGCTCATCAAGGCTCTCCCCAACTGCTGCGTGGTCCACCAGGACGATTTCTTCAAGGTAAGCCGAGCCCCCTCTTCCTCACAGAAGTTATTTGCTGCTTATCTGCGCAGGGATAGCTGTGGTGGGTTCCCTGGCAGTGTTGGGTGCTCCTGCATGCTCACCCAGTCACTTTGGACAGCTTAGAAGCCACACACTTCCCGATTTTAGGTGTGGGGGTTTTTTTAAAAATATATATTTAATTTTTAAATGACTGGACAGGTGGGGTGTTCCTGACCTTTACAAATGCCACGGGAACTTGGCATGACCCAGCTCAGAGAGGTCGCAGCAAAACCTTTTAGTGTTAACTACAGATATAACCTGGGGTCGAACTGCTCGTTTCAGTCAGAGGTTCTTTGCTGTGCTCTGCACAAATCATTTTCTCCATTTTGGGTTTTCCCTCCTTATTTTACTCGAGTAAGAACGTGGCTCCTAAATGATACTTTGGGATTTAAGCACCTCTGTGCTGATTTAAATACAGAAAGGGGGTTTTATTGGGGAGCTCTGACAGCTCTTGGTCAGAACCCAATTAAAATGTTGCAGAGGTGAAAGCAGAAGACCTTTGCTTGCTGCCTCCTGCCTGGGAGTGCAGAACCATGTCACTGATTCCCACTGGGAATGACAGTATCCCACGTGGAAGTCCAAGAGATGCAGGAATGTACTTGGAGCAGTTCTGTGTCACCCCCTAAAACATGAGGTGCTCCAGCACCGTGTGCTGGGTCTGTCCTGCCCTCACAGGAGCAGGTGCCAAGCAGAGCGAGATATTCCTTTGGAAAAGCTTTGCCAGAAGCCTCCTGCACGGATTTGGTCACATAGGAGCCCTTGGAGGAGGAATCGTGTTTATTATCCCATAAAGATCTGTAACTTCTCCCTCCTGTGACCACCAGCACGAGCAAAGCTGTAACTGTGTGACCAAAGCGCTGCTGTGCCCACCTGTGTTTTTATTAGAGTTAAAACACCTATTCTTGTAAAACGTGAATTTTAGCACTTACTTAACACCATATTTGCATTTTAAACCCTTAAATATCGATTTCTATTTTTTTTTACTAACACCCTATCAAGGGATTTAAGCTCAAAGCCTTTATCCAAAAGCTGATTTGACCGAGGCCAGGCCAAACTTTTCCGAGCTCTTGGGGTTGGTGAGAGACAGGGGAGTGGAAATGTTCATGTTTGCCCGGAGGGGGTCTGTGCTGGTCGGCTCGCAGGGAACTGATCACGCTGAGGTTGCAGCAATGTTTTATTGCTCACTATATTTCAGCCACAAGATCAAATAGAAGTCGGGGAAGACGGCTTTAAACAATGGGATGGTAAGAGCAGTGTTCGCTATAGGATGCAGTAATGTATATTTTTTTCCTAAGTATTCCTTTTTTTTTTTTTTTAATTATTAAAAAAAAAGCCTTAACGGTAAAATTTCTGTTAATTCCTACAAGTTCATCCTATTTTTTTGTTGTTGTTTTGACTCTTTCCCGTGCGGTTTCGTGGTGTTTTGATCGTGTCCCCTTTTTCCCCACCCACCCCCTTTCTCCCGATCCAGTGTTGGATTCCCTGGATATGGAGGCAATGGTGAGCACGGTGCGGGCCTGGATTGAGAACCCAGTGAAGTTTGCCCGTTCCCACGGGGTGAATGTCACACCTGGCTCTAAAGAGCCAACTTCCCAAGATATCCATATATTGGTCATTGAAGGCTTCCTGCTTTATAATTACAAGTAAGGTTTGGGGAACTATCCATGGTTTGCCAGGGAAGGTCCCTCGTGCCACAGCTAAAAACTCCTTTTTTTTTTTTTTTTACTAATTCCCTGCCTTGTTCTGAATTCTCACCCTGAAGAGTTTTTGCTGGAAAATGTAAAAAAATTAATCCCTAAACGCTGAAAAAAAAGTGAAGGGGATAATGTGAGTTTTTCTAAAACTCCAAGGGGGGGTTTAGACCAGGATTTGAGCTGGAATCCCCCTCACCCCCACCCGAAAGCTCATGGATGAGAACAAGGAGATAAACAATTCACTGCTTGGAACCTCTCCTGGAATTTAGGAACAGTTCTCTCACTTGTTTAACACTGACTAAACTGAGCTTAATAACTAAGTCACTTCAAGGCCAGGTTGGACAGGACTTGGAGCAACGTGGGATAGTGGGAGGTGTCCCTGCCCAGGGCACGGGGTGGGATGAGATGGGTTTAAGATCCCTTCCAACCCAACCCACTCCAGGATTCCGAGTGAACACTGGAGCGAAGATCACCCTATTTTTGCCTTTTTTATACAGGGCAGGGAAATTCTTGGCAGGAAGAAGGGGAGGCAGAACTGGCAGGGAAGAGAGAGAGAAAAATTCCAATAGCTAAATATATAAACTTCAGCCAGCCACCCCCAGCAAACGTGGCAAGAGAAATGTTCTTGGCTCCAAAGTGGAGTTTTGTTGACAAAATCCTTTCAGGAGAAGGAGCTGTTGGTGACACTTGGCAAAGCTGGAGCTGTTATAGGCTGTACCAGACAAGACAGCACCATCCCAGCTTCCCAAACTGGGGGAACATGGAGGCAGCCTGGGATTAATCCTGCCAGGAATGGCCAACTGGAGAATGGTACTGGCAAAGCACCTCCTGCTCCTGGCCTCTCCCCAGGGAGCAACTCTGGTGTCTCCTGAAGGACAAAAACACCCCTGAAATGCTCAGCCCTGTTCCCACAGCCTTTCCTTTGCCCAGAGGGAATATTCCACCACCAAAACTGGAGCTTCATGGAATCACTGAGGTTGGAAAAGCCCTCCCAGCCCAACCTGTGCCCCACCCTGTCCCCCAGCCTGGAGCACTGAGGGCCACGTTCAGTCCTTCCTCGGACACCTCCAGGGGTGGGGACTCCAAACCCCCCTGGGCAGCCCCTTCCAGTGCCTGAGCACCCTTTCCATGAGGAAATTCCCTCTAATGTCCAATCTGACCCTCCCCTGGCACAGCTTGAGGCTGTTTCTCCTTGTTCCCCTGGGTTGGAAGGGACATTAAAGCTCATCCAGTTCCAAGTCCCTGCCCTGGGCAGGGACACCTTCCATTAGACCAGGTTGCTCCAAGCCCTGTCCAACCTGGCCTTGGACACTTCCATGAGTGTGAACATGAGCCAAGGAGTTGCCTTGTCCCAAATTTTGCTGCATATTCTCACAGCCCCAGGGTTTGATTTGGTTTGATTGGTGAATCACAGCTCTGGGTTCCTGCACGCTGAGTTTGGAAGGATGTGGAATGAGCCAGGGTTTCCCAGCCCGGTGTCTGATCCCCCACAGGATCCTGTGTGATCCTCCTCAGGATTAGTGGCAGGTATTTGGGTGGGAAAAGCCCCTCCCTTGCCATTCTGACCTTCAGAAAACACCTTCTCCACGGTTTATACCAACCAACAAACCCACTGCCCGTGAGGAAAGAACTCACACTGGGGTTGTCTTCAACAGACACAAACACCAGAGAGGCAGAGAGATTTTGGGGTGATTTAACACTTTTCTCTGTCATTAAAAATTAGATAATCCATGTTCTTTCTCTCTCCCCCTCCCCCAGACCACTGATAGACCTGTTTGACATCCGTTACTACCTGGCGGTGCCGTACGACGAGTGCAAGAGGAGGAGAAGGTGAGAAGTTTCTTTGGTGTCAACCTAATCCTTCTTTCTGCTAAAGGAAAGATCCCTTTACCTTGCTATTAATCATGGAATCATGGGATGGTTTGGTTGGAAGGGACCTTAGAGATTGTCCGATTCCACCCCCCTGCCTTGGGCAGGGACACCTTCCACTAGCCCAGGTTGCTCCAAGCTCTATCCAACCTGGCCTTGGACACTTCCAGGGATTTGGAGCCCACAATGGATGGGATGTATTGGTATTTTGAGTGGGAAATTTGAATAAAAGTGGAGAAAGAGACTTTCAGGTGCTAAACTCAGAGTCACCGAATCGCTGAGGTCGGGAATGATCCCTGAGATCGAGTCCAACCATCACCGTGTCCGTCACTCGCCCGTGTCCCCAAGGGTCAGGGGAGATGATGTTTTTGGACACTCTGCATGTTTTTGGACACTTCCAGGGATGGTGCCTCCACCACTGCCCTGGGCAGCCTGTTCCAACGCTTCACAACCCTTTCCATGAATTTTTTGTCCCTAATCTCTAATTTAAACCCCCTCTGGTGCAACGTGAGGCTGTTCTTCTCCTGTCCCTGGGAGCAGAGCCCGACTCCCCTCCAGCTCCTCCCTCCTGTCAGGGATTTGTGGAGAGCCAGAAGGTCCCCCCCGAGCCTCCTTTGCTCCAATCCGTGAGGAAGTGGCCCGTGACAATCAGCTTTTCCATGACCACCACGGAGCAGCTGTTGGATCACCGTGACATTCCTTTTCCATGTTGTCATTCCCAGCACACGGAACTACACCGTTCCCGACCCCCCCGGCCTCTTCGACGGACACGTCTGGCCCATGTACTTAAAACACAGGAAGGAGATGGAGGACTGTGGTGTGGATGTTGGTAAGTTCTCCCCAAACACAAATCCTTCGGCCTTGGAGTTGGGAATTTAAGGAATTGGGTGATTCAACCCAAGAAAACCTCAGCTGTAATGATGCAAGGTGCTATTTTTGCTCCCAAGTTGTAAGCCTGGCTCCGTTTGTCTGGATAAATACAGGCAGTTTTATAGCTGGGAACTCATTCCCTTTGTTTCATACTCTGAGGACTTATAAGGGATAAAAAAAATAAAAAATAAAAAGCAGGAATTCTTTGCAATGGAATAAGGATTTTGCAGCACGTTCTGTTTTCGGGATGGTTCTGTTTTTTTCCAATAGAAAAACAAGTTGTCATTGGGGCCGATAAAATCTGAAATATTTTAAAGCTAATATTTAAAACTGATCTCCCAAAATCTTTTCCTGATGGAAAAGACTCCAGCCTGATTCCAGCTTTTTTTTTTTTCCCAGTTTATTTAGACGGCCTGAAGTCGAGGGAAGAACTGTACAACCAAGTCTTTGAAGATATTCACAACAAGCTTTTAAATTGCTCATAGGTAAATTAAAATACCTCCTGGGAGGGCTGGAACAGGGGGGGATCCATGCTGGAAACACCTTGGATACTCATCCTTTCCCTTCTTGTTTTCCAGGGTCTGGGAAGACCTGGAAGACCCGTGTACAGCCCGATGTAAATAATACTTGGAAGTGGGAAGGAGGGTTTATTTGTGGAAACTCTTCTCCCGCTGCCCTTTGGCAAGTCCCTTCTGTATATAATTGAAAACTGAGGATAACTTATTCCCAACCCCACGGAGAGGATGGCCTTGGTGGGGTTTTTGTTTGTTTTTTTTTAATTATTTTATATTCCAAAGAGAAGTTGGAAAAGCATTTTTATAGCGGAACAAGTAGAGCTGCGCTGGGAAAAAACAACGGATCTCCTGCTCCTGCAGACAAAAAGGCTTCAGGCAACGGCTTGTTTGTAATATCATCTCTCAAATTCAGTAAAAATCCACTTATATCTCCTTCTGAGGTCCTGATTTAATTCATCCACCAGAAACGGGCACGAAACTCCCCCAAAACACGACACCACCCCCCTTTTTTGTTGTGTGTTTGAAATCCCAGCCCTGGGTGGCCTCAGAGCTCCTTCCTCGTGTTGCTGGTTGGGTTTTGGGGGCTCATGATGGGGCCCCAGCGAGGTGGGAATGGCCCTGGTTGGGTTTTGGGGGCTCACAACAGGCCCCCAGCGAGGTGGGGATGGCCTTGGAAATTCAAGGTGAGCCAGTGGAATTTCTCATGGGATGAGAACTTGGAACTGTGCTCCCTTAGGAAACATTCCAGGAGTTCACACTAAACCACCACCCGAATTTCA